TGTAGACTCAAGTTCTCTTGTTCTTCAGCTCTACTCCAGTTTGTCGTTTTGTACATTTTCTTCACTACCTATTTAAAAATATGTGTAAGTATGCTATTAGCTGGATGCCTTTCTAACTAAATGAATGTCTTCAATCTGCACAGATTATTTGGATCATGATCAGCGTTTGCAGCGACTGGACTTCCACCAGGATGTTCACGTTTCAAGCCAGACGTTATAAACTTCTCCTTGATGGGACTTTTCTCTTCCTTTGGCCCTTTTGATTTGAGTTGCGCCCCCTTTCAATGACAACCCCTAAAATCTCCGTAAATATACACCTGGCTGTGCAGGAACTTATGCATTGCCGTATTTATTTTCTGTCCCGGGATTTGTTTGATTTCTACCTTTTTGTTTGAGCTGTAACTGAACCGTTGTTGCTGGATTTATGCTGTCTTGTGCTCCATCGTAGAACATGAGCTGTTTTTTCTGGCATGTCAGTGCTTTTTAAAGAAACACCAGGAACGTTTACCTTTTTGCAGACCAGTCACAACGATCTCTCTCACTTTATGAACTCTGCATCTCATTTGTTGGTGATAAATGGAACAAGCGTCTCCAACTTTACTCATCAGCTGTCGTCTGCTGCTTCTTAGATTAATACCAATGCCCTTCTCTTTTATTCTGGAGCACATGTGCTGAAAGTAAATGTGTATGCACTGTACTGTAAATGTGTCCTTCTTGATAAAGGTTTCCTATTGAATATATGTAGTTTGACTGTCTGGTGAGTATGGGCCATGATGTGTCTGATCCACATTAAATGCATTTGTTCCTATCATTACCATTGATCAGATTGAAGGATACTTCCTCTTAATTATACTTCATCAATGTTACACACTAACTGTATACAGTGTATGCTTTACATTTTATTATACTGTACAGTGTGAAATACAGTGCATTTAGTATCAAACTTCAGTCAAACTGCCAGTAACAACAAATTAAAGAAACATGTTTTTCTAAATATTCAACTCTTGTAGCTGTAAATGCTGTCTGTGCTTCCTTTGTGCTTTTCTGAGGTAATAATTATCTCTACTGTTCAGTGGGTTGTGATGAAACGTTAGAGAAACTCTTGTCATCCTCTGAACTCAAACAACTTTGGTGATTCTTCGGCTTCTTTAGCAGAAAACCCACAATAATATTAATGTGTTGTATTCCTGTTTATTTGAATATCAGATTATTTTCTGTTCAAGAAGCTGATACAGGACTAACAGCTGGGAATGAGCAGGGAAAGTACTGATTTGCAGACAGATGGAGGTGCTTCACAGGTTTATACACATTGCACAGCTCACGGATGCATCACAGGCAGTAAAGTTAAACATTGTGGCACAAGCTGTATTGTAAATAAAAGAGATATTATATCCAAAATAAGATGAACACTAATAACTGCAGCTCCTCCTCCAACTCAATACAATAAAATGTACAGTGCTGTAGGTGAAAGAACAGAACAACCAGTGTGTTCCAATAAGAAGCTTGTACACACAATTAGTGCAAAAACAACAGTGAGAGAAAAACACAATGTGATGTTTGCAAAAAAAAAAAACATCACATTACTGTCTGTGATCTGTTGTCTCTCACGCTGTTTTCTCTCCATGTGTGACTCCAACATCGGAGCCAGGAGTGACGGCAAGAGAGCTGATGGAGGTTAAGAAAATAGATGTGATGACGATCCAGGAAACACACAATGGCGCTGACAGTGAAAGTGACCGGAAGAGACGATGCCATGGCGAGGTGTTTCTGAGCCACAAGTCTCTTTGTAGTGGTGGAGTGGGAAGAGTTTCATACCTTCTTCCTGTAAAGCAGAGGAAGTTTTTAAAGGGCACATCATTAAAGCTCAAAATCAGTTTTTTTTAATAAATGTCTATGCACCAACACATGGAGTGGAAAGAATGGAAGCACTGAATATGTTATGTGACACAATCAAGAACTGCAGCAGGGATGAGTTTGTGTTTTCGGAGATGATTTTAATTGCACTCAGGATCCACGCTTAGACAGGAACCACCAGCAGCCTCATCCTGTTCATCACACAGCTGACTGAAGCACATGAACTGTCAGGTGTGTGGAGGTCTTTGAATAGGACTGTCAGGCAGCACACCTGGAGTCACTCTACTTGGTGTCTCTGGCCAGGTGAGGCCAGGTGAGGCCATCTGTATTCTTTTACTCATCACATGAATGTTTTAAAGCCTGTCACATGAGCCCTGTGGGATTCTCAGATCACTGTTTGGTTTTTAGCTCTGCTTTTATAAAAAACAAAAAAAAGGTGCATTTAAAGAGCGCGTACTGGCACTTTAACACCTCTGCTCCGTGACAAGACTTTCAGGGAAGCTTTAGAGTTTTTTTGAGTCACTCATAGACAGTGTAAGTCTACTTTTGCCTATGTACGGCAGTGGCGGGGTGTTGGCAAGTCACAGATAAGACAGCTGTGTCAGCAGTTCACTCGTAATGTCACTAAAGACACAGTCAGGTCTCTGAGAGACCTAGAGATGCAGGTGGTAGGACTGCAGGGTTTGACAGATTCTACAGGAGATCGAGGACTTTTAGATTCAATCAAAGTCAAAAAGTCTGCTTGAGCCAACCTACTTGCCGTTGCAGTGCAGGGAGCTCTGGTCAGGTCATGTTTCCTAAATACCAGTCAGATGGATGCTCCCTCTCACTTCTTCTTTGGTCTGGAGAGGAAGAATGGACAGAGAAAGGCTGTTCACTGTCTGCGATCCAGCAGCGGCTCTACGATCTCAGAAGATCAGAAAATTTGTAGCCTGCTTTAACAAAGAACTGTATAAGAGTGAACTCACAGAGAATCCAGAGGTGTCCAGCAGCTTCCTCCCTGGTCTTCCTCAGCTGGGTGCTGAGGATTATGCCAAGCTGGACTCTCCAGTAACACTCAGTGAACTGCATGCTGCTCTAATGAGCTTACATAGTGGGAGTGGGATTGGTGGTCTTTCTGTGGACTTTTATGAGTCCTTTTGGTCTGTTGGAGCTTGTCACAGACAGCCTGCAGAGAAGAGGGCAGTATCACTCTGCTGCCCAAGAAGAGAGACCTGCAGGAACTGGAGAACTGGAGAACAGTGTCACTGCTCTGCATGGACCATAAGATCCTGTCCAAGGTCCTGGCCACCAGACTCACAGAGGTGACGGCTTCTGTTGTTGACACTGACCAGACTTACTGTGTGCCAGGCAGGCTAATAAATGACAATGTCACTTTAAATTGTGATGTTTTGGACCTCTCTAACTCACTGGCTGTAGACGCTGGTCTGATTTCAATAGACCAGGACAAGGCTTTTGACAGCGTTGGGCACCAGCATCTGTGACTCTAGCAGACTCCAGCTGCCTTTTGGTTATTTATAATTTCAGTGGTAAAAATCTCTCAGAAATGTGTATTTAAATATAAACATTTAATTTTTGGTATTCAGAAGTACAGGTGGAATTAATTCTTGAGAAAACATAAATATTTTAGAAATCTTTCAAACAAACAAACAAAAAATGTCATTGTTATTTATTTGGCAAATCACAAACCGAAACAACTAAATAACATGAATAATTATTTAGGGTAATTATCAGTGGTGTTAATTTGGGGGAGCTGTGACACAAACCTTTCATTGGGTGGTGGTCTAATAAATCTATTAAGCACTGTACATGGTTTTGTAAATAATATCTTGAGATATTAGGAAGCAAATGTAAACTACAGAAAACAAATATGGGCTTTCCTGAATTTTGTATTATACTAAATATGTATCTGCGAAGTTCCTCATTCTTTTCTTCAATCAATAATTTCACCTCCAAAAAAAAAACAACCAAACAAAAGAAAACACACACACACAGTGCTGGAACACACTGTCAAACATGGAAGACGTGTTTGTTGGTTTTATTGTTTTTATTTTCACCTGCCGTGAACGCGCCTTCAGTGGACGGAACAGCACGCGAGACGCCGCCGCCGCCTACGTCAGCGTCTCCCATCATGCACCGCGCTTCACAAAAAGCCCGATGAGAAGGCCGAGGAGGAGGAGGCTGCCAGCCGAGGCGGGTAGCCGATTCCCGGAGAGGATTTTCTGTTCTCGTCGTCCGCATTAGCGAGTACGCGACGGCGGCGAGCGACAACAAAGATAACGCATCATAAAACATGATGCCGGCGCCCCCGGAGGAGCTTCCGTCGGGCCTGTGAGTGTCGGCAGGCTTCCCACCGCCGCCTCTTCGGGGGATTCTGCTGTCTGTCCGGACCCGACACACCGCCAGGCGATGACAGCCGCCACAGCCACTCCGCAGGTGATGAGAGACCGGCTGCTGCAGGCCATCGACGGCCAGAGCAATGTGAGTGTGTCCGCTGGGTTTTAAACGGTACGAGGCGGGGTGGAGGAGGGCAGACAATAAGGCCGAGCCGGCCTCAGGTCGCCTCAGCGGGCTGACAAAGTGGAGGCAGTCCGTGTGAGGCGAGTGACTGCTATTATTTGCCTGCTAATTAGCCGGCTAACGTCTCCAGTCAGCAGAAGTAACATCAGCATACCAGAGCCCGGCTAGCTGGCTGCTGCTGGCTAGTGGTGGAGTAGCCAAGTTAGCTTATTTATGTTTAATCAAGAATAGTGTGTCAGGACTGGAGTCAGTACACTGGAAGGGAGTGAAGTGTCCTTTAATGACAGAGACGTCCAACGTAGTGGCGGCTTTCAGCACTCTCAAGGCTTTTTATACTTCACAACAACAACAAATCTGCCGTTACTTAACATGACAAAACCTCGGTTGTGTTACAGCTAGTGTTGTCACGATACCAACAATCAGACCTCGATGCCATACGTGCCAACATACCAACACTGAAACAAAGCCACAGCAAAAACCTCAAACATCAGGAAATGCAAAGACATGTTGTTTTACAGGATATGCTGAAGTTTTTGTTGTTTGCTTTATTTTCAAATAGGTATTTTGACAGTGACAGTTGAAGACAAAGGAGGCTGTGAAACAAAAGCTGTAAAACAGCAGAAGTGAGCTACTTTACCATATTGTGTTCATATATGTTCATATCCAACCAGAGCAGGACAGAATCCACATAAAGATCAGCTCTCCACACGTTCACATCTCTCCTCCTTCACATGTCACACTGCTGCTCATAAAGGAGGAGAAGTCCTCCACGCTTCCTGCTGGACTTCAGTTGATCGTTTTAACTGGTGTTGTCGATCAGCCAGTTGTGAACGCCTGACATTCGGCAGCTTGCGAACTAGTTTAATGTTAAATCATCGTGAGAACATAGATGTTTCTCACATTGGTAAGTCGACTACACTGAGCTGGTCAGTTATCATTGCTCCCAGCTAATTATCTCATCAAACACCTATGATAAAAGAACTTATTACAAAACAAATCACATACATTTGACTTATATTCGAGGGTGTGACGCACTTAAACCGTCACATTCACTGTACTGTTGCTCTTTGATTTCTCTGTACAAATCTGCATGTCTGTCGGCTTCACAGAGTTGTTCACTTTCTGAGTGCGCAAACTTTAAAACATATTTCGCAAACAGACTTTGAGGCGTCTATGAGCTTTCACTCACTGTTGGCTCCATGAGCAAAATAATTCCACATTTTACTTCTTTCCTGTCCGTCCGCCTTATTCACAAGCTGTGGACGCTCGACACCAGCACTTGGATTTGCAGACATGTGTTGGGACTACGAACGCTGCTGGAGAGAAATAAAGTTGACGTTCGTCATTGGAACAGTGCTCATTAATCAAAGTATCTGTACTAATAAAAGGCTTTTCTAGCATTGGTGTACCGTGCAACACTAGCTACAGAACTGGGTAAAACCAACGACACCCTACAAAAGGTTATGATATTATAATGCCAGTTTCAGCTGCACCACCAGTATTGTCAAGTACTAAAAATACCATCAGCTTGATTAACTGTCACTAGTCTTCACTTCTGGATATCGTCTGTGAAACATAGATCGTACAAAGGACTCTCTCAGCTACCATCATAGGTTGGAAATACAGATGAAATCATCTGCCATGATATATATTTTTAACTACAGAGAAATGATGTGGCATCATTGCTTTGCAGAAACTCATGGCAGAGCTGGTGATTTAAATCAACAGACATCTTAGAAAAGTTCTGTTGTTCTGTCTTCTTGTGGGAACAAACGACACATTTGCATCCCATCTCACTTTGTCATATTGAGCCTGAAACCAGAGTATCATTTCAAGACATACAGGTGCACATTTGAAAGTTCATTCAAATGATGTCTCGACCTTGTAATAGCCTCTCTTCCTCTTTCTGTAGATCCTTCTAGGTCTGTTAAGTAGAGGAGATATTTGGAAGAAAAAAAAAAAGCTCGTTTACCAGAAAAGATTGAGAACTGCAAATCGGAGCATCATCTACACATGAACAACTCTACTGGGTTGCTTTTGTTGTAATGCTGACAAAACCTTAACATTATGTCTCAGGATTGTGATATATAAACCTGTGGGTCTTTTCAGCAGATATGCAACATGGTGGTAGTTGTGGAGGTGATCTCTTTTTTGGAGAAATATCCCATCACCAAAGAGGCGCTGGAGGTGAGTTGCGTTAAAACGTACAATGAAATTATTGTCCAGTCGAATCCAGCTTTTCAAAAGTCAAGTTGCAGCTGCTATTAAACATCTGTCTTGTCTCCTGAAAGGAAACTCGTCTGGGCAAGCTCATCAACGATGTCCGAAAGAAAACCAAGAACGAGGACCTTGCAAAAAGGGCCAAGAAACTCCTGCGAAACTGGCAGAAGCTAATTGATCCAGGGACAGGTGAAGTGTTGTCCAAAGGACACGCCGGTGCATCATGGTCTTCCAATGGTGGTGCTCATCCCTGCATCTCCACTCCAGTTGCCACCCCACCATCAGGTAAAACAGGTCCAGAGTTGAAGAACAGAAATGACTTCAACAACTGCTCTCCAAGAGTGGAAAAAGTGAGCATCAGGAAACGTAAGGGTGACCCAAAGGAAGGACTGCTCTTACCAGCCAAGATATCCAAAACAACTCTTAATGATAAAATACAAAACTCGAAACAGCTGCCAACCAATGGAATTGGTGGTAGCTCTGAAATTTTTACAGACACTCGTGCACATCAGCCTTTAGACAGGGACATTTCTGAGCCTTTAGACAATGACAGACAAAACAAAATCCCTGTCAATGCTGTAAAACCTCATCCAAGTGCCCCGGGATACAGCAAGCCTCCGAGCACTTCTTCTTTGCTGAAAGCATCAGTTCTGCAGCAGCAAGCCCGACAGGAGCAAGCTGCCTCCTGGGGGCAGCATCGACCGAGAAGCCCACGTTGTTCTTTGCAGAGTCCTCAGGCTCCAAAGCAGGAATCTGTTGTCAAACAAACTACACCCCAAGCACAGAGTATTTCTAGCCCCAGTGTGAGACTTGGGACTGCGGACACCCCTGGACTGGGGCCTTCTCCTCAGCCTTTCAGTCTTTGTGTTCAGGGTTTTCACACTGATGGTACATGGTCTGCAGATTTGGACTCTCAAAGCAGGCCTCCTAATACGTCTCTTCACAACCCAGTTGCCTCCTCCTGCAGTGACGCAGTCAATTTGGAAGATGAGGGTCCTGCTAGCAATACAGGGAAAAGGAAAAGACAAAAATACAGGTCTAAGGATCACGTGGTAAAGTTAGAAGGTCAGACTGTAGAAGACAGCACTAAACCCGTCAGATTAAAAGACAGGAGACTGACGTTTGATCCTGTAACGGGACAGATCAAAACCTCCTTTCATAAGGACTCTGGGCAGGAGGGGGATGTCAGACCGAGCCACAGAACTGAACTTCAGTGGTCAGAACCGCTGAAACAGAGTCCTCCGGTTCCTGCCAGTCCCTTCCAGCAGACAGACTGGAAAGAGCTGTCAAGGAGTGAAATCATTCAGTCGTACCTCAGCCAGCAAAGTAATGTGCTGACGTCATCGGGTGCCCACACCCCTGGTGCACACTTTTTCATGACAGAGTTCTTGAAAAAGGAGGAACACAGGAGTAAAGATGCCAAGAAAACACATGCGTTGGCTTCAGACGTCCCTCCCAGAGAATTACCGGGAGTGAGCAGAGAAGTCAACGACGACGACCTGGGCAGGTTACACACACAGCACTGGCCCGGGGTTAACGGTTGCTTCGACACAAAGGGTAATTGGTACGATTGGACTGAGTGTATCTCCTTAGACCCACACGGAGATGAGAGCAGATTGAACATTCTGCCCTACGTCTGTCTGGATTGAAACTGAAGTCAGGGTTCTGAATTGGAAGTTGTGACTTTCCTTCACTGTGCAGCAGAGCATCTCTGGATGTGTGAAGACACTCTTTCAACGTGTACGCTGCTGTTTTGCACTGTTGGTGAAAATGGAATAAACATGCTGCCTGCTTTAGTGTTTGTTGGACCACAGGGGGTGTAATCAACGTTTTTTATAAGTTTGTGAACATTGTGTTGGGACTGCGTGAAGGGAAAAGGCTATGCATTTTCTGGCCATTTAGTTGTTAGTGTTTAATAACTGTACAGATCGAGTTTACAAGGCAGAGCAGCTGCGACACCTGGCCTGTTTTATATTGGAGAGAACATTAACTACACCGATATATTTTATTCACCTTAAGTTAATCTTGCGCTATCTTCATGCCTCATGGAATGTGACTTTACTGAGCTTCCTGCATCCACTCACGTTTAGTCCACAGTGCAGTATTTTTTATTTTAAAAAAAACTGTGACCTAATCAGCCTTTTGCTTTTTCAGCAGACAAAAGTAAGCGATGTAATTGGAGCAGACATCCAACAGATACGTCTCCTGATGTGGCTTTTGTTAACATTTGCTGTTGCACCTTGAACAAGGCATTTTAGCTGTGAAAGCCGAAATAAGTACTATCTTCACGTAGCTATCCTCATTACCAGTGGTATTAACAGTCAGCTGTTAGTCCTGTGAAAAACATTTATCATTGCCTCTTTTAGAACTGCTGTTCCCTCGTTGCATGCCTGCCTCACAGTGACTTTTAGCAGAAAGTAAAACTGACAAATCAGTTTTCAAACATTTGAATATGTGTCTTGTTTGCTGTTAAAGTGACATGAAACTGCCAGATGTGGCAGCAGTTTGAGGTGAGAGGGGGGAAAAAAAGCTTGTATTGCACCAGAGCCATACAAGCTGATAGAAAAATGTGACTGTCATGTGTGATATTTATTTACATATTCATTTTTAAGATTTACACAGTCCAGGCTGCATTAAATCGTCTTTTGTTCGATTACTTTCTACAGAATTGGGTCAGGGATGCAGCTGTGATATTCCACACTGTATGTTACACAAAAGAAAAAAAAAACAACTCACTCATGCTACATATGTACTATTTTTATTTTAAACTTGCCTTTTCCCTTTACTGTGTATTTAGGTTGTAAAATATGAATCCGAACGGCAGAGCAGACTGCTACTAGCTTGCATCTTTGTACTGTCAGGAAGAACTGAAAAATAAATTGACATGCTGGATAAAGTACTTAATAGCATTCCTTTAGATATTGTTTGCCTTATGGAAACCTGTGTTTTCCCTAAAGACAGAGCCTTAGTGAATGTACAGATATTAGCCTTTTGCGTTCATTTGAATGCAGGAGAGAACATTTGCTACCTAGTCCTTTAAGTGGACATGTTAATATGTGTTAATAAAAAACTGAAGGAATTGTGATCATTTGTCGTCTCTTCAAGCGTTTGTAAGAAATCCTCAGAGATTTGTTATATTTTTCCTTATTTATTTATTTTTTTAACTGATTGTCTTCAGTTACTCACATTAATCTTACTGACAAACAAATCCCCACAGTGCAGGATCTGTGCTGGCTCTGCATGTGTCTCACGTTCAGCTGAATTTTGATTAATTCCCAGGATACAGAGAACTTTGAGGAAACAGCGTTTCCAGGCTAATGACAAAACCAAACAATTCCCAGTGCTCTCTTGGATGCTATTTCTCCTGTTATTCGATTAATCAAAAAAAAATTCAACAGAAATACAGGCAACTCTGTAATAATTGTCATTTTCTGGCAAAAACGCCAAAATGCATCCTAGTTGCAACTTCTCAGTTCTGAATATTTGCTGCTTTTCTTTGCCTCTTGTGACTAATAGGTTTTCAACTAGGTGTTAGACAAAAGGAGCACTAAGACTAATCACTTACCCTATAATAAATATGTTGTTGGTTGCAGGGCCACATACAGTCTGTTCTAAATTTCCCCCCTAAATTATGACATTTTGAATCATTTTATTGGAAGATACGGGTCCATAAGTATGAACAAGTGTTTTAAATTTCAGGTTAAAGTGCTACATTTCCATTTTAGATCATCTCACTGCACGAGTGACTCCATCCTTGTCTTTCTTGATGGGCAGACTTTGTGATGAGAAGTGGCATATTGTGAAATCAAACCGTCATTTGGTAAATGGTGTAGAACAGACATTGGAGAGTGCACATTTTAGGTAAAAGAGCTGGGATGGAAAAAAAAAAAGATGTTTTACACATTGTGAAAAGAAGCCAGTTGAAATGACAGTTTTTAGAATGTGTCTGATTATTTTACGTTTTAATGGCTATATATGTAACACCAGCAGTTATTTAATACTTAATAACTATTTTATATTATACTTAATTATTTAATATTGGGTTTTAACTCTCTATATTTTTTTAACAATTATTTTATGTTCAGGATAGGGACTCTCCTGCACAGCAAACCTTCAGGTAACGTTCCCAGAAGGTTTCTTATTTGATTATTTTACATTTTAATGGCTATATATTTAACACCAGCAGTTATTTAATACTTAATTATCTTATAGTTGTTGTTATTATTATTATTAATAATAGTAATAATAATAATTTAATACTATTTACTGGGTTTTAACTCTCTATATTTTTTTATTTTATGTTCAGGATAGGGATTCTCCTGCACAGTAAACCTTCAGGTAACGTTCCCAGAAGGTTTCTGTCTACTGGGGAGCTTCTCGTGTATTTCTTGCTTATTTCAAAGTCGTACTGTGGATTTATTTATTTCAGTTACGTTTTAAAATGGTAGATTTTAGAGTTTTTAAGTGGGACTACAATATCTGCCATTTTGGATGCGGCTCGCAGCAGATGCTCTGCGTGTGTTTTATGCTGAAGGCCGAGCGTGGAAGCGCTTCTCCGGCCTCAGCGCGCGGAGCTTGACGGCGGAGCAGCGCTGCCCTCCCCCGGCGCAGACACACACACACACACACTCCACCGGTGACTCGTCACTCCGCGCTGGAAGATGGCTGCGGTGGAGCGGACCCCGGTCAGGGAAGGGATCCGGATAGTTTCACTGTGCGTGTGCTGGTACACGGTCAGCTCGGGGGGCAACATCGTCAACAAAATCATCCTGAATGGATTCCCGTACCCGGTCACGGTCTCTCTGTTCCATATCATCTCCATCGTCGTCTTCCTCCCGCCGCTGCTGCGGGCTTGGGGAGTCCCCAAAACAGAACTGCCGAGCAGGTACTACCGCTGGTACATCCTGCCGCTAGCTTTCGGGAAATACTTCGCCTCCGTGTCGGCTCACTTCAGCATATGGAAAGTGCCTGTTTCGTACGCGCACACCGGTGAGTACAGCGGCTCCGTGTGAATGTGGCCGCCACCTGGAGCCTGTCAGCCGGGGCAACTTGATGATGTGTCCGCACCGTCAGCTGGTGTTAGCTTGGCGGCTAACGCTGGACAACTGGCGGCACGGACATTTAACTCGCTGCTGGGCCCCGGCTGGCTTTGGCGTCCAGGAGGTCGGGGACAAACGTGCTTTCACGCAGCTAAATATCTCACCGTGAGTGTTTTAACTACAATAATTGGTCCGCTTCAGGCTCCTGTTAGGAACAAGTAAGCGGCTGCTGTTAGCTAGCTAGCCAACTTAATGAGTCCTCCGTCAGGGGGGAGGGTCCATTACTGAAGCCGCTCCAACTTTGATCTCACACCGCCGGATAAAATCACATCACAGCTCCTCGTGGAGGTGATTTTGCTCCATCATGTGGTTATATTACACGGTTATCTGCAGAGGAATTTAATAACACGTGCTACATGTCCTCCTTTAGTCAAAGTTATAATGGAAGTAAGAGCACAACAGTGTAGGAAGAGTCCCAGATAGAAGCCCAGCAGTCAGCATGTGAGTCAAGGAGAACTACCAGCATCACAGCAGAACAAGCCACTATGCAGAATGGGCCATTTAAAAATAAAAAATAAAAAAATACTAATATTTACACAACATTTCAGTAACTGATAGAGTGATTTTACTAATTGTAGTGCTCATTAATGCATTGAACTACAATGTCTGAAGATTCTCAGTCATCCAGGTCGTGGTTATTCTGGTAGATTAATCGCAGCAACTGGAGTTTCTTGAAGATGTTCCACCTCTCATCCAAGAGGCTTCATCGGTTCTGACTGACTAGTTGGGAGTTCCACATATCCCAAAGGAGCCATTTGAGAGAGGGGTGAAAGAAGTCATCTATGTCAAACTGGAAAGACCATCCCTCAGCAGAGGTGGAGGTCTGAGGCATCATCTCTCACCTGTTTATGATTCAGTCCTAAGATCTCTCCCCAGGAAGATGAAACCACATCCACACCTAGCCACAAAACACCCTAAGGAACCCCATTGTGGCAGGAGGAGCACTAACGACCCACATAACGAGGAGGAGGAGCAACAAACCCCCAATTAAAACTCAGGTGTTAATGGCTCCTTTAGGATATCAGTATGTGGAACTCCCAACTAGTCAGTCAGAACCGATGAAGCCTCTTGGATGAGACGTGGAACGTCTTCAAGGAACTCAAGCAAGTCCAGTTGCTACGATTAATCTACCAGAACTGAACTATAATAAAACATCATTATTGATTTGTCATTCAGAGCGTGTGTCTTGTTACCAATCTGAATCAGTAAATTAATCCATTAGTTGTTTGGTCTATAAAATGACAGAAAATGGGGAAAAATGTCAATCAGTGCTGCCAAAGCCCAAGATGAGGTCCACAAATTGTTTTGTCAACAACCCAAAGATAACCAGTTTATCATCATAGAGGAGCAAGACAAAAATGAAATTGCAATCAACCCAATAGTAGACCAATAATTGATTAGTTGTTGCTAATCTATTGCAAATACAGCTAGCAGATAAATGTGTAACTGTAAGTACAACATTCCCCACAGAAATGTACAAGGATAAAGTAATTTGCCTGATAAATGTACAGGACTTGAGTACTTCTTAATTCAACCTAATCTCTTTCCTTTTCTCTTGAAACAGAAGTAAAGAGGTGTTTGCTCAGCTTTCTAGTGTTTATGTCTATCTAATTTAAAACAGTAAGGATAAACCTCATACATGAAACACTCATCAGTATATTACAATACACCGCCTCCAACAGGTTGAATCAACATATTTGTAGTTTTCATTTTTAAGAAGAATCAGTAAATGTAATAACCATTGTTTACTGTGTTACTGTATGAACTGTGTTAGATTTTATTGTCTTAATTTGTAATTTATTATGATCCCTATCAGCAACCATTCTTTCCACGCTGCACACGAGTCAACATGACATAATGCAGAACATCACAATAATCTGAAATATCCCGTCGTGCCTTAAAATATAAGTAACTGAACAACACGTCTTTTGCAGTTCGACCTCCCCTGAGTCACCTCGATAATCCCCAGCTGTGTTTTGAGCACGTTTAGGAAGTGCTATGATTCATTGCAAAGCTGTTGGCTTAAACTAGGTGTAGCTATGTAAACTGAAAGCTCATTAAATCCGATAATTCACCTCAAATCCAGGAAGTTAGCTTGAAATCAAGCGTACTTTTCTCATGTTAAGACTTCCGTTACAGCTGCTTCCCTTTGTGATCGTGCATTAAAGTCTCCATCAGCTCTCTTTAATTGGCAAACTAAAGCTGAACAGACAAACACCTGTACAGTTAGCTCAGACAGCCTGAAGATTCACACCTAGTTGCCTTCTAATACAACAGTCCTGCACTAAATCCAAGCTTCACACAGGTTGTAGCGCTCAAGTTGTTTTAGAGAGGCGTTAATTTGACGTCATGGTTATTTAGGACGGTGCAGGTCTCGGTGCTGATGAAGTGCTTCACATTATGGCGAGAGGTGTTTGTCATTAACTTCAAGTTCAACAGCACCATAAAGCCTCCAAAGTGATCACAGCGATAAACATTAAAAGCTTTGGGAGTTTGCAGCATTAGGTTTAGTGAGATGGACCTAATGAACCAGCAAGTGAGCTTTTAGTAAAACCTGTGTATAGAAAGTCCCTTCTCACGTCTAGGGATGTGCCATAGCTTCAAATAGAAGACACTAAACACTAAATGAAACTTTTTCTCCTCTTAGGCATTGCAAAGACCCTTAGTGGCCATAATTTAAAAGTGACAGCAGCCATGCCACCGTTGTTAAAGTTTCCAAGTGCGTCGCTTCTGTTGTTGTGCTTCATCCATCCATCCATCATCTATACACCACTTAATCCTCACTAGGGTCATGAGGGGCTGGAGTCTATCCCAGCTGACTCAGGGTGAAGGCAGGTTCACCTGGACAGGTAACCAGTCTATCACAGGGCTACACTTAGAGACAGACAACCAAGCACACTCACATTCACACCTACGGACAATTTAGAATCACCAATTAACCTCAACATGTTTTTGGACCTTGTGGAGGAGAACCCGGAGAGAACCCACACTGCACGGGGAGAACATGCAAACTCCACGCAGAATGTCCTCACCGGGACGTGAACCAGCGACCTTCTAGCTGCGAGGCAACAGTGCTAACCACCAACCTTGCAGCCCTTGTTGTGCTTCAGCAGCACCAAATCTAGTTTCGACAGTTTTGATGTCTGAAGCTATGTGTTGATCATTTTAAGTCTTTTGTAATTATTAGTGCACCACCACTGTTGAGTAACACCGGTGGCACACATCGGGATAAACCTACAACCACGTTTGTAAACGAAGCAACACGACAGCATGTGAATCCCTGAGTGACACGTTTACAGTGTTTGACAGCAGCGTGGGCCCAGCTGTGATGTAGCAGCATTTTATAGTCCAACCTTTTATTCTCAACCTGCTGCTGCTGCTGCTGTTAGTTGCTTTTTTCATGTTTGTTGTTGAAGAAAACAAAGTGACATTTATCCTTTTGTACCTTTTTTTTTTTTTTCCACAGTCAAAGCCACGATGCCAATATGGGTTGTGCTGCTATCAAGAATCATCATGAGGGAGAAGCAAACCACAAAGGTGAGTCGGCAAACACAGCACAAGGCCCGCTCTGTTTCAGCCTGTGTCTGAGACCCGGCAGTGGTGATGTGGCACAGCGCTGCGCCTGTCCTGCTTCTCATATTACGGCCTTCTGCAGGGGCTTTTGTCCCTGAAGTGGATGAGACGTTCTGTGGAGGTCAGAGAGGGAAACCTACATTTTTATTTCATCGGTCGGCCACATGCACCTGATAACCCCCCATATTAACCCGCTGCTTTTTATTTTATATGAGACAGGTGGGTTTTTGTGTATGCACGCTTGTTTTTTTTTTTATGCACGCTCTGCACAGGTGGCTGAACTTCCAGATCAGGTGACACAGTTACATGAGAACTAGACTCATTTTCCACTTGGTGACTGGGAGTTGCAGTGTTATGTGCACAAACTCTTTCTTTAATTTAAGTCCATTAGCATAGAGAAATGAAGACGAACCTGCAGCTCAACTTTAGCAGATGTAATTATTTCTTAGAGTCTGACAACCTCACATCAGGCGACTTCTTTATGCCTGAAACAAAACTTTTAATCCCAAACAGGAGAACATAAATTTGTCACACAGCGCCATCAAAGCTGATCATGCTGAGATTATGTTATTGAATTATCCAGCACTAACAACAACACATTACTGTCACTGTCCTGCCACTTAATCTCTCCACGAATCGATTGTTTTGTCTACAAAATGTGACACAATAGACAGACATCCATCCATCCATCACAATTTCCCAGAGCACATGGGGATGTCTTCTATTCAGACTGTCACTCCATCAGAGAAACCAACAAGTATTTTTAATCAAGTAGCTGAAAGCAGTGACTAGTTTTTGCCTTAAAATTCAATCTAATGCAAATGTCTCTTCTGCACTAGAATTATCTCTGACTCTTTTTTTGGGCTCTAGTTGTTGTAATGTGGCTGAACTAAAACAAAAACACTAAACTGGATGTGACAAAGTATAAATCAAGCAGGACATTTGTGCCTCCTTTGTGGCTGCTCGTCACATTTACTTAACTACCTGGTTATTGTGTCGTGCAGGTACGTAGGTGCCCAGCCCACAGTGACTCACAGAGCACAAGAATGCAGCAGTGACACGTTTGTAAAACATTAACAAGAACAAAACTTCTTCCATCAATATTCCAGACAAAGAGCTCTTATCCCTCTTATCCCAGCTCCTCAGATATAATCACACACACAAGAAAAACCTTCGTCATATGACACCCTTTGACTTTAGACTGTGCTATGAAACGTGGACTCTCTATCCACCTCCACTTGTATTAAAGAACCAGTGTTTGATACCAAAAAAAGCCTTTATTGGGACCTTGGCAACTAAAATACACAATGTCTGACCTGCCAGGAATGCAGCTTAATTTCCCATCCTGATGGCAGAACGTTTTACACTCAATGTTTTCTCACCTTCCTGAATGCGGAGACTTGTGAGTCTAACGTCAGCGTGTCATGTTTGCTTTACAGTTCAGATAGGATGGGGCTGGGAACGTAGGGGCTGTTGCTGAGGGATCCTGTTTGAGCAGCAGCAGGCTACGCTGTGCTGTCCTGAGAAAGCTCAAGTGAACATCTGATTAACTGAATAAGCGCTTTGTCACATTATTACTGTATAACTCGGATTAGTCCACCTCAGTGGGCAATTTCCCAGATACACCAGTACAATCTAATGCAGTCCGCTACAGCAGCTCCTCCATAACGTTTGTCTTTACAGAACTTATTAAATGTTTTATTGCAGTTTTATGTTTACTATTAAGTTAAAGGCCTACGTCGTATCTAAGGTTTTTCAAATGTATTTTCCTCCGTATTTACACTTAGTATGTCCTTGGAGCCAAAACCTGCACAGGTGAACCCAATAAACCGGACACTATGCAACTCTTACATAAAACTGGGTGTATTTGACTCAATAAATGCATTTACGTCTCCAGCTTTTCCTCTTCGGTGCAGGCCTTCAGGATAAGGGAGGAGGACCAGAGATAATCTCGTTAACTTTATAACTTGAGTATGTTGAACAAGTTGCTTCCAGGAGCTGCTTCCTTGTAGCGCATCCTGTTGAGACGCTGTTTAATTATGAATCAGCAAATTAAAAGAGGTGGGGAAGAGGAGGGGCTGCAAGGTGGCTCAGTGGTTAAGAAGGTCGCTGGTTCGCGTCCCGGTGAGGATACCCAGGATTTTTCTGCAAGTTTGCATGTTGTAGTGTGGGTTCTGTCCGGGTTCTCCGGCTTCCTCCTACAGTCCAGAAACATGTTGAGGTTAATTGGTGATTCTAAATTGTCCGTAGGTGTGAATGCTTGGTTGTCTGTCTCTAAGTGTAGCCCTGTGATAGACTGGTTACCTGTCCAGGTGAACCTGCCTTCACCCTGAGTCAGCTAGGATAGACTCCAGCCCCCCATGACCCTAGTGAGGATTAAGTGGTGTATAGATGATGGATGGATGGTTAAAAGGACCAGAGGTGTGTTGCTCCTACAGGCACAACTAGGTTTACAATTATTACTCCTATTTTTGATATTTGGTTCCAATTTCTGTTGACCAACCTGTTTTTTTTTTCCCCTCTATGTCTCATCTGTGTTGTTCAGGTGCTCACCTTTCAGAGCTTTTTGCACATACAAGACAACTAACTTGAACAATAAAACAGAGTCTGATGACAGTAAACGAGCACTTGGTAGTCAGGGTTGTGTTTTCTCAGTTTCAAACTGAGCGGTTGGTTGAGGGGAGGAGTGGGCACACAAGTGGGTTTCATAACAAATGCAAGTCGGCGTAGTTTCCCATCATCCAATATGCAAAAGAGTCGCTCATCTGTAGATGTTTGTTTCAGGCCGTGATGCCGAATCTGTGGACCAAAACACAAAGATGATGAGGTCGAGCTGCGCCCTCTAATGCACTGATGGAGCTGTGCATTAACATGTTTTGTGTAGATTTACAACTCTTCGGTGCAGCTGTGTCGAGGTTTTTTTTCGAGGGTTTCTGCTTTTTGTTAGGAGCAAAAAAAAACCTGGTTGTGTTCAGGTTTGATGCAGTGTAGGAACTGTCAACTCACATTTTCTATGAAGAGCTGAACAATGCAGAATGATGATGAGGCTGCAGCCACGACTTGCTTTATCAATGACGCATTTCATTCATCATCAGTAGTTTGATCTGTGAAATGGTAGAAGATGTGTTGTGGGGATCAAAACTGTCTACTTTCTTACCTTCAGAGCAGATTTTCTATACAGCATCTCAAAAGACTGATGCATTTATACATAAACAGGATCGTTTCATGATCAGCTGCAGCAGGACGCTCTCACAGCTTCTCGTGTAAAACAAGGTGAAGCAGAAAACACTCCACTCTGTAACGCAAAATAAAACAGCTTCACAAAGAACTAATCACTACCTGCTACACTCACAATGCTGCTTTCAATATTCTGATAATTACTCTGTTTAATACATGTGACGAGTTGAACTGAAGAGGTGCTTTAATTTCTGCCACAAGTGAAAAAGCCAGTTAAAAAAACAACAGCAGTGTCCAGCACACAAAGATGTCCAGTTGGCTATGATTTTAAACAGAGAACAGCGAGAGCAGTGGCTTAAATTAGGGATTGTTTGCTTAAAAAAGTACTTAAACAATTAATTAATAGTCAAGACAGCTGCTGATTGTTTTGTTTTTTTAATCAGTTGAGCAGTAGAGTAATCAATGAGCCCCGCATCTCTTGCTAATGTCTGACTCTGTGCTGGGCTGCAGATGGGGAAGCACTGCCAGCAGCAGGAAGCGGTATTGACTAATTAACTGCCTTCGATAAAAGCGCTGTTTGTGTTTGTTCCTGCTGACTCTGCCTTCTGTCTCCGTGTGCTCCCTGTTGCAGGTCTACGTATCGCTCATCCCCATCATCGGCGGAGTGCTGCTGGCCACGGTGACTGAGCTGTCCTTTGATGTTTCGGGACTAATCAGCGCTCTGGCCGCCACTCTCTGCTTCTCTCTGCAGAACATTTTCTCCAAAAAGGTAAATTCTCATCACGTTGGGATTCGTGATCCTGTCCGTCTCGTGGCCTGATTAAGACGAAGCCATTTCTCTGGATAACGTCAAAATGAATGAACAGAACTGGAAATCAGTGCTGGGCGCTGCGAGGGTTTCCCCTGGCGTTTGACACAAGCGCCACTTTCTTGCTGTTCGTGCAACCCGACAATTGATTAGGTTTTGAGCGCAAATGTCAACAGAAAACATGAGGAAATATAACTCACATTACACACATGTCACATTAGAAGAAAGGAAACTAAGTCAGTTGCTGTGTTAGAAGAACAGCTGAAGTTGACTCTTGCCCTGATCCACATGTTAAATGCTGTTTTAGCCAAAATAGTTCCTTTTTGGGGCCAAAATACTTGCTGTCTTTGATTTGATTCTGCTCGTTAAGCATGTGGGGAACAACAGAAAGTTTTTAGACGCAAAAATACCCCCAAAAACCTTTACGTCTACTTTGTCATGAAATGAAATGATCTTTTTTTTTTTCTTCTAAAGGTGTTGCGAGACACAAGAGTTCATCACCTGAGGCTGCTCAACATCCTCGGCTTTAACGCTGTGATCTTCATGCTGCCCACTTGGGTTCTCGTCGACCTCTCAGTGTTTCTTGTGAACGGAGACCTGGTGAGAAGCAGTGACGGCTCTTTAGTACAGTTTAACATTTACACCAGCTGTTCAGCAGCGTCTGGCTCGTTATACGGCCCTAAACGATGTCACCTCTTTGCTTTCAGTCGGACGTCTCAGGATGGTCCGGCACCTTCGTCCTCCTGCTCATCAGCGGCTTCTGCAATTTTGCCCAGAACGTCATCGCCTTCAGCGTGCTCAACCTCGTCAGCCCTCTCAGCTACGCCGTGGCCAACGCCACCAAGAGGATCATGGTCATCAGCATCTCGCTGTTAATGCTGCGCAACCCGGTCACCCTCACTAACGTCATGGGTATGATGACGGCCATTGTTGGAGTCTTCCTCTACAACAAGGTGAGTCTGGCTGAGCACAGGATGGTAGCTACAGATTCCCTCGAAGGTCAGCTGAGAGGAAAAAAACGAGCTGTGTGCACATTTGGAAGAAGAATGGAGAGAGATGGTAAAGAAATGAATCACAAGTCCTCTGTTGTTCCTCCAGATGAAAGGTTTCTTTTATTTGCATATTGTGCTGAGCACCAACATGAATGTGAGGAGCTCAGTCAGCATTTAACAGCCGTTTCTTTACCTGAAGTTAAGTGCAGAAGTATTTAAAAATGTATTTTAACTGTAAACATTCGTCTTAACGGACCTTTTCCTCCATACTTAGTCTACATGGCTGTGTCTTGTTCCATTCACACTCCTGCTTATTTTCGTGATCAGTAAACTGCTTCATCTCCACCCGTCTGTATCAGTCACCCTCCATCAGACCTATAGCTGCCTTTCATTGAGTTAAATGTAAATTATTACATTATTTATCCACTTGGGGAACATTAAACCCACCCAAACTATTCAGGCTCAGTGGAGCACCAAGACTGCCAACATTTATGACACCAGGTCATTTAAAGTCTATTTGTCCTTCTCCTCTGCCATCAGGCCAAGTATGATGCAAACAAGGAGAAGAAGCTGTTGCCGAGCGCCAAGCAGGACCTGATGTCCTTTGACAACCCGGCGCTGGAGAAGCTCCAGAGCAACGGGTCAGTGCCTTTCTCTCACGGCTCAGAGCAGCAGCAGCACAGCTGGAACAACGTGCTGACCGACCACTTCCAGTACAGCCGGCAGGCCTACACGACGAACTACAGCAGCAACCACCAGTACGTTGTGTAAAGGAGGAGTGTGTCCTCGTCCTGGGTAGCTGTCATAGACATTACTGTGTGTAGCCGCCCTCCCAGCAGCGGGTCTTCACCGCCTGCTCCAAACTCGAGACTGAAGGCAAGTGCTGTTTGTTCTGGATAGTAAGAATGAGATGTGTCGGTCATAGAGGGCCAGAGATGTGACCTCTCCCATGCCACTCCCTGTCTAAACTTCATTTTCAGACAGCTTTGCTGTAGGTCATCGCTTATTTATTACTTCGGTACCGACTGTACGGGATGGTGTGAGAGAAAACAAAACTTTAATCAGCCATTTTCAGACATGTTGGTGACGGTTGAAGCCATGATGTTCAGACACGTAGATGTGCCACAGCAGCAGGAAGACGTTGTGGCAGGTAGTTGAAAAATGATCTATTTTTTGTGACTGTCTGGAAATGTTAAGAGTTTTGTTTTCACAACCAGCCATATTTAGTTTTGGGTTGTTTTGTTCACTTTGAAAAGAAAGCATGTCATCTGTAGCCATTTACTGTGAACGGTAACTTGCACCGAGTCAGGAGACGTCGTGTTGCCTCGTGTAACAAGCTGAGTGAAACAGAAGGTCTTTATATTTTTGGTTTGGGGCATTTCATGTTTACGATGGTCATTTTTCTTCATGGGACACTTCTATTGTGAGGACGAACAAACTGCTCAGACTGTTCTGAGTGAAAACATCTTGAGGTCGATGGCACTTGTTGGGAAAGTTGTGGTTTTGTAGATTTGATCAGAGATGTTTTTAGCTGTGCTGGCACCATGATTCTACAGACGTCACTGTTTTGGACCAGACTGAAACATCTCAATGGATGGATTGCCTGAAAATCTGGTGCACACATTCTTGTCTCTGACTTTTCATCAAGTGCCATCATCGTGTCAAAATTTTCATTCATCCAATGCTTTGGTTTGCGACTACCTATGAAACACCTTCAGCTGTTCTTCCTTAAGTGCTAATTAGCAAAAGCTAGCATGCTAACATGATACGCTAACATGGGGAATATGGTAATCGTACCAGACAACCCTCAGCATGTTGGCACCGTCATTGTGGAACACACTAGCATGCTAACATTAGCACTTAGCTCAAAGTACTGCTACCGAAGTGGATCCTCACAGAAGCGCTTGCATGGCTGTAGGCTGTAGACTCAAGATGCCGCTGTAGATATGAATTAGACTGCTGTAGCTCGATTTCTGCACTCACTTTACAAGGTAGTTCAAAAAAATGCAAGTTCCCAATGAAGAAAAATGCCCAAATCTGTTCACTTTGTCTGCAACAAGCTGAGGCTCATAAACGTTTTGCACACGCAGATCAGTAAAGTTAAAGTCAGCAAGTGTTCCTAACTGCCATTGATAGAAAAAAAAAAACCCACACAAAGCGTCCAAGAGCGAGACCGGCTCTGTTATCCGGAGAGGTCAATGACCTCTTAAAAATCTGCCCTTTTCACCAATGAAACCGAAAAGTTTCAACTTGAGGTCTAAATGTAAAAAGTTAGCATAAAGTTAGAATCACCAAAACAAAGCATCCTGACGATACTGTAGAGATGCCCTTTGTTTCACCTTGTTTAGCCAGTCTAACCATGTAAGATGCAATAGAGATGTTACGTTTACTTATTTTGTCATCATAGTTTGGAGGTAATGAGTTGATTTAAAATAATGCATAGATTTGTTTTTTTTTAATTGATTGTCGGTATTTATTGATCTGTGAAGCTTCTCAGGCAGAGTGAGGTCTTCTCTCCTGTCAGGTGACTTTTTTTTTTCCCGCCTGAACCAAAGCTGCTGTGTCATGTTTCTGTTTTATTTTATTTTATTTTAAAACAGAGGCTTGCGTCAAGTTTGCACATCATGAAACACCTTTAAATGCAGATTGTGACCGTCTGGCCAACCGGCGTTGTTGGTGCCGGAGAGTCACCGGACGGACTTGATTTGAGAATGAGACGTGCATGAAATCCCAGGTTTGGTTTGTGCAATTAAAGATTCAACTTTAATTTCAGGTGGACTTCATTATCATCATTATTGATTGCAATGTCTGCAGAATTGATAATCAATCATCATTTGTATTTTTAAAAATGGTTTTTACTGCTCGAGGAACTATTTAACGTAGGAAACATCGGCCGCTCGTGTTTCTCCTTTGCGGGATAGCTTGCGCTGACTGATGCACTCATCGTGTCACTACAGCAATATAAAGTCTCTTATCTGCTTTCTTCGTGGCTCAGATGCTTCGGCGTCAAGTGCGAGTCGTAGCCTGTGAGCTTCTTCTTTTTTTTGTTTTTTTTTTCAGCTGTAGTCTCTTGTAGATTGGGGTTAGGGGATACTGTGGTTAATAATATGCCTTTTTATGTACTTTTTTGACACTTTAAACACTGTCATAGTATTTAGTCTGAAGAAAAACCCCCCAAAATAATCTGCAGAGAGCTCTGAGGGCTCAGCGGGGCCTCCCAGAGACAAACCTCTTTATGGATTCATGGGGAAAACTACTGCTGACGAATGACAGGTTGTAGGAAAAGATGGTAAAACTCCTGTGTGGTATATTGAGTTTTTAGCAGCTCTGGAACAATTACTACCTTCCTCAAATGCCTGTTTTAAGTTAGATTTGGTTGATTGTTGTTGGCATTGAGGCTGCATCGAACTGAATCTTTAACAACGCCACAAACTGCAGCCTCTGAACTAACAAAGGACACGGATCAGAACCTCTTTGACTCAACACCAGCATCGATTAAAGTTTCACGGAAGTTGCGTTTCTCTACTGGAATATTTTAGTTTCGTAACCATCGTGAAAACCTCAAAATATCATCGCATGAAATGACAGCACAGAACTGTGCAGCGCTACGGGGCTGACTGGTTTCACGGCTGCCTGGATCTTTAAGTGTGTTCCCTTCAGCTTAAAGCACCTGTGATGAACACCGTACGCTATCTTCCCAACACCAGTCGCACTGGAGAGCATTCAGTAGCTAAAGAGCCAGTTATTTCCAACGAGGTGGTGGAGACCAAAACAGAGCTTAAAGACGAATGGAATTCATCAGGCGACAGCAAACGTATTTATTACGTCACCACAGCGTCGTCCTAGTTTGTGCTTCGGTTGTATGAATACTCGGATCTCTAAAAGACTGTTTCGTGATTACCTAAAGTATTCCGAATCTCCTGCAGTCAGTCACGGAGGCGCACACGCATCACTTCAACTGTAAATCATGTACATTTCCACTTTTTTTTACCAGGTTCGTTCTTTCATTTAAACCAGCAGCATGTGGCGCCTCGATAATGTGGAACATTTTCATATTGTTGCCTCTTGGGAAACGAGTTTTGTAAATATCAAGAGGGAAACCGTCACCATGGATACAACAAATGCTTTTTAATAGGGATGTCCGATATTGGCATAAAAATGTAATATCTGTCAATATCGTTATTGTTTTTTTTTCGATAAAGTAATGCCTGGATTTCGCCAGCGCGCAAATGATGATAACGTCAAACTGCGTCATGAAGTGGGCAGCAAGTGTGGCCGCAGTAACAAACATATGTCGGTATCGGTTGATATCGGAAATTGAGAGTTAGAGAATATCGGCATATCGAATATTGGCAAAAAAGCCAATATCGCACATCTCTACTTTTCAATGATTTCAAGTCAAATAAAATCTACTCTTCAGCTGTTTATCAGATCCGTGCAGTAACTCACGTGAAATGCGACACCCTATTAACTAAATGTTTTATGTTCGGTTTTGAAGCATATCAACAACGGAGCAATCTGACTATGACGATATCCGACTAACCAACTAAAACTACTTCAGAAAGACACTAGCCGATCACATCATTGATTTATTCTAAAACCTCCATGTGTAGTCTGTATTTCAGAGGGTTCACGTTCCAAAGTTCTGCACATTTGTTGGATGCGGTAACGTGAAGCTGCTGAACTTAACTGCAGCTGTCTCCAGATCTTAAACAGATCTTAACGGTTCAACTTTAAAGGGCCTTCAGTCACATTCTAAGTGTTCACCATTCATCCATCGCTACTGCTGCAGCCAACATTTCCACACTCTAGTTTCTTCACGTCTTTCTTCGTGTCCTTCCTCATGTTGCCAAAAGCAGAGCTTTGTGACGCATCGCAGGACGGAGGCCTTGCTAGCAGGTGGACGAGATGCAGCGAGTGCTTCTCCAGTTTCTGTGCACCGAGCGTGCCGGGAGAACGTTTAGAGAACGGTCGCTTTAGATGCTGGCTCTCTGTCGTAAAGCTTTTCACTGGGATGTAAATGTCAATGAGAGGAGAAAGGGGAGAATACTTTGTAAAACTTGTATAATTATTATTTTTGTGTGTCTTTAATGGATCTTGAGACGAAATTTTTACTTAACCGATGTTTATAGATTTTTATTTATGGTGTCAAGGTACAAAGATGTTGTACAGCGGTGCAGCTATGCACAGTCTTGTCTGCTTATGTTTAGTAAATGCTATTTTTAAATGTTGGGGGGGAAATAAATGCATTATGGAATCCTGAACTTACTGAATGTCTTTTCTTTCATCTGTCAGTTAAAGGTATCGACACTGTAAAATACTCCAAGTGTAAATTCTACAAGTGCAGAAGGATTATTAATTAAATATTCTTAGGAAGTAATAAAGCTGCTGCAGGAATGTTCCCATAATGAAGGGTTTTATTATTAGCTCTGACATTCTAGCCACTTTAGATGTAGTTAGATTTGTTTACAGCTACAATAAGTACGTCCAGTGGTTCCCAACCTAGGGGTCGCGCCCCTCCAGGGGGTCAAAGATAAATCAAAGTTATTTATTTTTCTGTTTTGTAGCTTTTCTGTGAAATGTTGGATTATTTTATCTTTAAGAGTTTAATTTAAAAGAAAACATCTGAGGCGGGGGCTGCAAGGTGGAGCAGTGGTTAGCACCGTCGCCTCGCAGCAAGAAGGTCGCTGGTTCGCGTCCCGGTGAGGACACCCAGGATCTTTCTGCATGTTCTCTCCATGCAGTGGTGGGTTCTCTCCGGGTTCTCCGGCTTCCTCCCACAAGTCCAAAAACATGTTGAGGTTAATTGGTGATTCTAAATTGTCCGTAGGTGTGAATGTGAGTGTGCTTGGTTGTCTGTCTCTAAGTGTAGCCCTGTGATAGACTGGTGACCTGTCCAGGTGAACCTGCCTTCACCCTGAGTCAGCTGGGACAGACTCCAGCCCCCCATGACCCTAGTGAGGATTAAGTGGTGTATAGATGATGGATGGATGGACATCTGAGGCATTTAAATGCAACTGAATTGCAAATGAAAACTCAGACATCGGAAAGGAGGCAAGGAACCCCAACTAGACGCGTTTGTCATCATATTAAGCTGAACAGTGTTCCTGTATAACTAACTATAACTGGCAGGTACATGTTGTCTGAAGTTGTGCACCAAGTACAATAATCAGCTCTGAACCGTTGTGATGCAGAAGAAAGCATAAAGTTAAGTACTTACGTTACACTTGAGTGCAGTTCTTTATGTTTCATCACAAACCGAATGCTTTTTATTTGTAAACTGTAGAGGCAGTAAAGATCCTGCAGGAGTATTTCATCACTCTTACAGTCATTTCAGCAGCAAATTACATAAGAAGCCTTTAAATGTGCGTTGCACTCATCTATCTGACTGTATTTGACTTTAAACTGGTTCATATTAAAGCACTTCACTGTCACTTTAACTACAACAATCATAAGAACATGTGGAGGATTTGAATGATGTGCTTCAGGTGTTTTTCTGCCCCCTAGTGGCCACAAATTGACAAGTATTTCTCAGATGAGTGTCAAGTGCAGGAAGCCAACACATTACTTTATAAATTTGTCAGAACTTTCATGCAGACTTGATCCTGTTTGGTTTTTTATCTCCACTCAGAAATTCATCATCTTCTCCTTCTAGTGTTTCCTCAACAGAACTTTTATATCATCTTACAAGGGAGGACATTCATCTGCAAAATGTCAGGGATGGATATAAATAAAAACATCCTGCCGAGGATCTCCTGCACGTGGAGCTCAGTCGTCGTCTCCGTCCTGCTTGTGATGCATGTAACCGTCTACTGATCCGTTGTCCCCCTGCAGGGCTGACAGCTCCTCAACGAATGCTCCTCCAGCGTTGGCAGAGGTTTTATTCACAGGGATGTTCTGAGGTGACGATGCAGAGGAGAGGGAGAGATTTCAAACCGGCCAGACGGTACAGATATAACTACTGGTTTGAATCATTGTGAATCGGATTAGAATTTAACTGCTTCACCATAACTGTCCACACACAGCTGAAAACGCTAACACAGAGTTTAGAAAAGGGTCACTGTTAGAAAAAAGAAACTGAGCTGTGCAAAAGTTACAACCACTGCAGCTGAGTATAAATAAAATCAAACATAATACAGAAGCACTGACCGGGTTCAAAGGAGTTCAGCACTAACAGAGACCAGAGCAGCCCGAGTTCAAGACAAACACAGTTTACCAAATAACAGCCAGCACACACAGATTTATTGCAAACATAAATCTTTAATACAAACAGGCAACAGCAGCATATTTTGGTCAGTGCTTTTCTGGCTTTGTGTTTCTCTCATAATGCAGAAATACCTCCCAGGGAGTTTCCATAGACAACGCAGCTGAAAAAGATCACCTGCCTGCCACAAAGAGACCTAAAAACAGCATGAAGTCAGACTCTTGTCATGTCTGTAAGTATGAAAATGTGTCACTGGTCATTTGAACACGACACAAGCCGTCTATGCATCTGCAGGAGCTGATTAGTTCCCATAAAGTGTAGGACTGACTGGTCTGGAGGCAGGAGGAGGAGGAGGAGGGAGCTTCATGACATAATTAGAAAAAAGGGTTAGAAGAAGTGTGGCAGTGAGTTAGAAGCCATGAGAAGACGGTGGATAGCACGGAAAGACAGAGAATAAAAAGCTTCCATCTTGTCTCGTTATTGCACTTCAGGAGCGACATCAGAGTCAAGTAGTTTCTCTTGTCAGTATTGCTGCTTCATTTTACTTGATAAATAATCCTGCAGGAGCTGTGTGGCTCCCGTCCAGCTGTGAGTTCACATATTCATCGTCACCATTGCTCTGAAACAGAGTCTGTGGTCCGGGTGAGGCTGCTTGCAGCAGAGAAAGACGTCCAACACAAGCTCAGCGTGCAGCGTTTGAAGTCTGGTGGAGGCTCTCCGTGTCGTACGGAGTGAATCTGACAGCAGCCGGCAGCTGAGAGATGATGTTTGCGTTGCACATCAGCTGGGTGAACACGTGGCTGTCCCGCATGATGTCAGGAAAAAAGAGATTCCTCTGCGGTGGAGGAGGGGAGTTGCTGCGAGTGCTGCTGCTTCTCCTGGATAAACTGAGTAACCGTCGAAACAGAGACCTCCTGAGCAGGATGTAGATCCAGGGGTCCAGGATGGGGTTGACTGAGGCGATCCTGATGGCGGCCAGGTCTGCCTTGTAGGCCTCCTCGTCGTCTTTCTGTTTGAAGTGGTTGGCAAACACCTGCACCTTAAAGAGGAAAACAAGTTAGTACAACACACACATCTTCATGTTGTTAGTAAGAGCTTAAAGAGATGTGATGCCAGATACATGCAGGAATCATTTTTAAGACTTTCCAACTCAAATTAGACAAAAGCTTTTCATTCCTTAGTGATGAATCTCTGCATTCCAACATTTTGTGAGCAGTTAAAAATGTTCTTTTCAGAAATTGTGTCATTTTAATTTATATTTTTGGTCTGAAATGACAACATTGACAATAAATCTTAAAAGAAAAAACAGAAAAATGATAATAATACAAATATTGTTTTAGCTAAGACATAACTGTATGTCTGTGTATGTGATGAACCATAAAATCCAGCTAATCTCACTCATCTCAGTTCGACATGCAGAGAAACAGTGTTGGGAAAATGTTCTGAATATTTATAACTAGTAAATTGTTGATTTCAGAAGTGAGCCTTTTTTAAATTCTTATCACACATCAACATTTTATTCTGTTTTTTTTTTTTGTTGAACTGATCCTGGACTATCTGATGTTGGACAGAGTGAATTAATCAGTTTTGTGTTTCTAATATGCAGAATTCATTTAAAACAGGTTTTAACAAAGAGTCTACAATCTGTGACTCATAATGATGAACTATAACACATGATGTTAGTTACAGGTAAATGAACATCAAAGCATCCTGTTGATCAGTGGCTGAAAGGAACTAAGTACATTTAAATGCACTAAATCTTAGAGGCTGTTCTATTTACTTCTTCCTCTTTTTACAGTAAATTAAACTTCACTGTTAAAAGGAACGTTATTGAAGAGTTTTAACTGTAATTTTATTTTAATAATTTGCTGTTACTTTGCATGTTTTGCGTTAAATCACAAAAATTATTCAGCAAAATTGTTGACTTCGGGAAAAAAAACTTTACATAAAATCTGTATTTTTACAAATAATAATTAGTGTGAAAAAAAGTGAAAAGTAAAAAAAAAAAAAAGTAAAAGTAAAAAAAAGTAAAGTGACACTTTTCTTTTTTTATTGCTCTATTTTAACCATTCTTATACAAGTATTAACAGTTATTTTAACAGTTTTAACAGTTTTAACCGTTTATTTCCTGACAGGTTCACATGAAGATAAAACATGAAACCAAAAGCTTCCTTGTCACTAACATCTGTTGCTGCTGCAGCTACTTGTGCAGGAAAAGAAGAAAACTATCCAAACCAGTCACTGTTGACATGTTTACTGTCTGGACTCACCACCAGCGGGGCAGAACAGGCCAGAACCACCGCGGAGGTCATCACCAGCACCGCGATCATCTGCGTCTCGGCGGCCGAGGACAGAGCCCTCCACCTCTCCCGGACGCTGGCTCTGGTGACGGGCCGCTGCACGGTCCTCTGCCGCATCAGCAGCAGCGCTCCGCACACCGCCAGGTTCAGCAGGATGGTGCCCAGGATGAGCAGCAGGCTGACGGCGCCGTACAGGACGGAGTAAGCGGTGGCCCGAGGCTCGTGTGTCTTCCAGTCGATGAAGCACCAGGTGTTCGACTTCTGCAGCTTGCTGGCCGCCATGCCCATCATGGGGAGGCAGCAGAACAAAATGTGACTGATGTAAATGAAGAGAAGGAACTTTTGCGCAAAGCGTCCGTCCACCCCCCAGCGCTGGTAGGTGTAGGGGCAGCAGATAGCCAAGTAGCGCTCTGCTGCCATGGCGCATATGATGCTCAGTCCGGCGACACCGAAGAACAGCAACAAAAAGGAGTGGAACTCGCAGATGTGATGGTTCTGCAACACTTTCGGGTCCAGGTAGGTGGCTATGGTGAGCGGGCTGGCCAGGCAGGTGCCCAGCAGGTCCGTCACCGCCAGACCGCGCACAAGCGCGAAGAAAGCGGAAGATTTCCTCTCTTGTCGTGACACCGAAAGGACGATTATTGCAATTAAATTTCCAATGGCGCCTCCAGCAAACATAAACATCGGTAAAGCGATTCCTGTTCCTGCTGGTGGGGCAGGCGACCGCGTGCAGTTGATGGAAACAGGTCCTTGCGTAAAGTTCTGGCTTTCCATCGCCAAATACACCCACTGGCTGGCGTTTGTTAGAGATGCTTCCTTCGGTCTGCCGTGGGTTTGAGAGCGCATTTCCTCTTTAACCCCCTGCAGCAGAAGATAAGGAGTGAGCAGGGGTTCGTTCTCTGGTAGTCTCATCCCCTCTACTTTCCAGTAATCCACAAGTTCACCGCAGTGGTCGTTGCGCACAGCTGTGGGCTGAGAGGTGGGTTGTCTCTGTTGGATCGAACCACCCAGCAGGCTGACAGCTGGACGGGATGGATGCTGTGAGAGAGACAAGCAGGGAAAAAAAAGTAGTTTGTTGCTCACAGCTTCTCCTCCACTTGTCATCTGCCAGTGCGGGCGTCATCACAGATGCGTAATGTTTGTAGCAGCCTATCAGGAGGTCCGGCTGTTGGGCTGGCAGGAAAATACAGAGACGACAGTGAGACAGAAGAGGCTTCAGCAGATTTGTTTGTTTTTTTTTCATTTGGATGAGAGTCTTATTTGCAGACACACGTCGGAAGGTTTGTTGCAACCCCATTAGTGTCAGTAACCCCATGTCACTTAACTGTTAATGCAGTGAACAGAATCTAATGATAATGAACGATTGAGAAATCTTTTATCTACTGGAAAGCAGAGATGCGAGTTTGCAATTCAACAGGTGCCTTAACTTTGAGTTTCATTTGGTTTTATTTGCTCAGAACTAGAGTTATCTGTCATTAAATCTGTGCCAACTCTAAGAAAATGATGGTGAGCAGAGCATATTTGGCACATCTAATGTAAAAAAAAAAATGTAGCAACATGTGTGACCCGTGTGTTCTGGATAATCCACAGGTATTACTGTGAGCAGGTTTTACTGACACTACTTCATACTAAAACACAACACTAATAACAGTTCATCCTGTGGATCATCTACAGCTCACTGCCTTTGCAAAGCTTTTTTTTCTGCTGAATTAGTCTAAATGAGAGTGCATTCTTGCTGTAATAGCCTCAGAAGTTAAATTCCAGCAGCTTGCACGCAGACTCAACTTTTGTGAGCTTCTGCTAAGAGATGCAGGAAACACCAAAAAATCTCCAATAAAGTTTAAGAAATTGTGTCCAAAATATCCTATAATCAGGATCTGGATACAAACCAACATTACTGACTTACTCACTAACTGTTTCAAACCACAATGAAATCGACTCATCACAATGAACATGTGCAACTGAAACCAACGGTTCTCTTCCTGTTTCTCTTACCAGAAAGGTAGCTCATGATGTATTTCATTTGTAGTTTAATTAATTCCAGTGTATGAGGGCCGGACTAAGAACTGAATCAGGAATGTTGACATATTACTCAAATGTAATAAAACCAGTGTTGACTGGAACTAATAAACAACATGAAAACACACAAATCCCAAACAAACGAGTTGCAGATCTTTCTTCTTGTCTTTTTATTTCCGGTGACATTTCTTCACTTTTTCTTGAATAAATGACTGATGACATTTAAGCTATTTTACAAGCAATGTTGCAACAAGTGGGAAGTTTGTTCTTTGTCCCAGTGCGATTGTTGTGGTCGATATTTTCCCAGTTTTCTTTGTCCAGTGTGCGGCTCGCAGCTTTGTCCCAAACAGAGATGACTGTAAATGGTTGTGAGGAACAGCAGAGGCCTGATGGACAGAGAGAACACACGGGACGTCAGCGCACTTAGCCGTCGCCGACTCTCGAGCCATCACACATTTATTACAGTGTGACTTATGTTTACAGTGAGGAGCAGCGGAGAGAGAGGTCTCTGTCTGCAGCCAGCCTTAAAAGACAAAACACAACACCTCATCGAGAGGTAAACCGCCGCTGCTCATCTCTGCTGCAGACAAAAAGGAGCTGGCAGACTGTAAAAACAACAAACCACTTAAGTGATGCCAAGGCTTGGAAAGTCCACGGCGTCTGGAATGTCCTTCAGTTCACAGTGAATCATGGGACGTTCGAGCCCTCATGGATTACGAAGTTCTCAGACGTCGTAAAGGTAATGCATTTATTGCAAATGTACCTTATTATCTCTGTCTGTGGTCTCAGGATTGGGCTCGAGCTATAAAAGTGTATGTGACTACGCTCAGTGAGTAATCAGCCCAAAAGAACATGCAACACAATACCCCTACAAGGTCAATATCAAGATATTCTTCTGTCTATAAACCTGTCCCTGCCCTCATCTGACCGTTGAGTCAACACTTAAAGTCACCCACTGTCCTTCGAACAATGAACACCAACAACATTTTTGCCCCTTTACTGATCATTTCAACAGTGCTGTTTACATTTAGCTCCTCTGAAACACTGACTGGTTACGTCAGCCTTGTTCCCACAGCAGGGCAGCTCTAAATACAGCTATTACCAATGTCTCAGTATAGATGTTAATCTTCAAGGTCTCAGTATAGATGTTAATCTTCACAACTTACCACAATTCCCACGATTTGTCCAGTCAAGATATTCAAAGGCAACCTGCAGAGTTCAGCCGCTGTGACTTCTTTTGGGTCCACACATAGACTATAATTAACATGTTGTTGATTAATGAAAGTGTAATTGAAGAGTTCATTTGCAAAAACAGATAACTCCATTTTTGTAGATTTTCAGAAAATTTTGTTGTTGTTGTTGTTGTTGTTTGTTTGAGATAATGTCAATCAAACTGAAGCTGATTGGGTTTGACTCAGTAGAAATGACAAAAATAGAGATAACTTAAGTTTGATTGATATTGTCTCAGGTAGACGATGGAAAAGTGGGTTTTCTGAAAGTTTGTGAAGATGGAGTTACCTGTTTTTGCAAATGAACTCCATCCATCCATCATCTATACACCACTTAATCCTCACTACCAGTCTATCACAGGGCTACACTTAGAGACAGACAACCAAGCACACTCACATTCACACCTACGGACAATTTAGAATCACCAATTAACCTCAACATGTTTTTGGACCTTGTGGGAGGAAGCCAGAGAACCCGGGGAGAGAACCCACGCTGCACGGGGAGAACATGGAGACTCCACACAGAAAGATCCCGGGTGTCCTCACCAGGATGTGAACGGCGACAGTGCTAACCACGGAGCCACCTTGCAGCCCCAAATGAACTCTTAATTGTATGTTTTTTCAGAGTTATTAAGTACAGCATTTGCGCTTAGGAACAATCAAAAACTGATACTTTGCAAAAGGCTGTATTTAAAATGCAGGCCTCAAAGTAGAAACTCAATGCAGCGAAAGTGAATTACTCCTCTATCAACGCTGCACATGTCAGAAAACCTGTGATCCCTGCAAAACTAAATTGAGTGCATCTGTAAAACTGAACAGCACGACCACAGTGAGTGCATGTTGAAGCACGGAGATGGGGATGTGATGATGTGATGACATGGGACGGCAAAAGATGTTGGAGAGATGACATTTCTAGATGGCACCATGAATGTCTGTGGAGACCAAAATACTGCTGACAAAATGTCTCTCAGTCTGCAGAACGATCCACAGCACGCTGCCAAAACCCCACAGGAGGTTCCAAAGAAGAAGAAGAAGAAGAAAAACTGTCTTGAATCTAACAAGACATCTTTGTGGGTATTTTATGGAGAAAGGTTGAGCAACGCAGCACCTCTAGCAAAATAAAAAACAGCTGGAAAAAACTGTCTCTGCAGAACGGCAGAGCGTCTTGCCAGACATTTGTTATCCTCCATGCCGAGCAGGATGGAGTCTGCCATCCTGTATTCTTAATGTAGGTAATGAAACCTTGTAAATTTTGCCCTCGTTTCAACTTAGAAGTAATGCAAACACTGTGAGGTAAAACAATTTTTAATCATTTGACATTAACATGGTATGGCTGAGGAGTGTACTTTTTTTTCTGTTGCATCCTGTAAAACAACAAATCTGTCCATGTGAGAGGCCTGAGCCAGTAAACTGGTGTTAATCTTATATTCCGTCACCGTGCCTGTATCGGACAGCATCAGTGGTGTTACAGACGGTAAATAAGAGGGCGAGAAACATGCAACCAAGGTGTAAAAAGCCAGGAGTTGAACTGTAGGCGTTGCAGTTATGCTTCTATCCCCGAAGGATGTTGTGCACCGATTCAAACCTGCACAGCAGCATTATTATTCATTTGGACTCACTACTGGGGGAAATATGTGGCTCTCTAGCAGCTGACTGCTGAAAGCCGCACTCTGTTTGGAGGGTTGGGGGATTTTTTTCTGGGACAATAACTGTGAACAAATAACTTCATGAGAGCGGGAAGAATGAACCGCAGTGAGTTGTGGCTAAAAATGTGGACTCAGATAATTCACTGAGGGACTAAACATGTCGGCACTACATGAATAATTCAGGGGATTTTTTCTCACCACAGCAGCAGTGCTCTGTGAGTCTTTAATTTCAGCCCAGTGCATCCGTTAATCAGCTTATCAGTGAGGTTACAGGAATGACGGGATACAATCTTCTAAATTACTGTCTGTTAGAAGTGGTCAGCCCTGCGTTGGTATTTCTAATGAATTGTGTTTTTCTGTTGTTGTTCTGCCTGCTGGAAAATCAGCTGCTCCATCAGGGACAGTGGAAACAGCCAGACTTTTTTTTTTAGCTCATCTTGGCAGTAAAGGACTACGTTTTACTAAACTTTGGGCAAACACAGGGCAACACTTAGAGACAACCAAGCACACTCACATTCACACCTACGGACTATTTAGAATCACCAATTAACCTCAGCGTGTTTTTGGACTGTGTGGGAGGAAGCTGGAGAACCTGGAGAGAACCCACGCTGCACGGGGAGAACTTGGAGACTCCACACAGAAAGATCCCGGGTGTCCTCACTGGGATGTGAACCAACGACCTTCTTGGCAACAGTGCTACCGACTGCGCCACCTTGCAGCCCCAGCAGCGAGGATATCTATTGAAAATGCTCAGTTATTATTGTACACATATTTATTGTGCCACATTTTTGCATAATTTACTGATTGATATTTTTAGATTTTTGCAAAGACACCCATTGCAGGCCAAGTATTTGAATTGTGCAACAAGCAGGCGATCATTTTGCTCTACAGTCAACTGTATGCAGGTCACCACTGTGGTCCTTTTGTGTTTTTTTGTTAAGCGTAACAGCCGTCGCAGTTTGTCGCTGTTAAAATCCAAAGTGAAATTTACTCACAAGCGATCCTTTGAGCTGCTAACGAACGTCAAAGCGCTCTGTGACGTAGCGGCTGGCGGTCAGTGAAATCACAACTAATAAATCAGACATCATTCATTTGTTTGTTTAATTTTCTTCCACCACATTAATGG